CCATAAACTTTTTCTTCATCTTCGTTTCATGTTTGGGGTGTTAATTAATAATGAACTTCAACATCCAATGAGGGTTGCCATCGGGTCCATTTGAAGTTCATGTAAAGTGCAGTTGGACTTTCTCAGCAAAAATATTATTTTACTTAACGTATATATCTTTCAGGAACTGCAAGACTTCCCGGTTTTCACGTGTGTGTTGGAAGTGGTGGAGAGAGGCTCCTTCCTGAGTGGTACACAGATAAAGGTAATCCATTCTTATTAATTTCATATTCCAGTATATGATATACCATGGCATTTTCTTGTGAATTTTGTTTGCAATCCGACCCGTTCGTAATATATTCCCAATCTGCTAATCTTGTCTTCATGATCAACAGGGATATCTTTGATACTCAGCACGGAAATTGTGAAAGCAGATCTTGCTTCAAAGACACTTATGAGTGCAGCTGGTGAAACATTTAAATACCAAAAATTGATTATAGCAACTGGTTCTTCTGTTAAGTAACACTTCTCATTTTTTTTATCTTTTTTCTTCCTATTATCTTATTTTTAATTATATTTTCTATCTTTCAGCTCTAGATCATGTCACTGACAGCTATTTTTGAACTGCCTGCTGCTCTCTTTTGTCAGGTCATTAGATTAACTGACTTTGGCACAGAAGGTGCCGATGCTAAGAACATCTTTTACCTGAGAGAAATAGATGACGCTGATGAACTCGTGAAAGCAATCAACTCAAAGAAAAATGGAAAAGCTGTGGTTGTCGGTGGAGGATATATCGGCCTGGAGCTAAGTGCAGCTTTGAGAATCAACAATTTCGACGTCAGTATGGTCTTCCCAGAACCTTGGTGCAGTAAGTCATACTAGCCGTAATTTTCTTTTCTTTTTTTTTTCACAAGTTTGTAAAAGAGGCAAGGAAAATAATATAGTGTGCATATATAAAAAGTGCCCAGGCTTTTCACTGCCGGAATAGCTGCTTTTTACGAAGGTTACTATACGAACAAGGGAGTCAATATCATCAAGGGCACTGTAGCCGTTGGATTTGGCAGCAATGACAACGGGGAGGTGAGTTCTCAATCATAATGATAAGTAGGAATTCACACCGTCTGGTGACAAGTCTCCTGAATGTAAATCTAAAAATTCGAAACAGCTCAAAAAGTACTCGAAATAA